CCCCTTGACCCAGCTCCGAACCTGCAAACGGACGTTTCAGGGAACCGGTCCTAGAGACGCCCCTCGGCAGTTTTCGATAGGCAATGGCTTCTAGCGAATTGGCGTCGGTGTTTGATCAGCCACTGGATGATAGTTTCAGGAACCTTTGAGGTATTACCTAATATTTTTTAACCTTCAGTAATAGTTTTAAATTATCCTATTTAGAAGAAACCATCAAAACCATTTCCAACACTGATTACAACATTTCTCCATTCAAGAAGGCGGCATGTATAGTGCAAAGGTTCGAAAATATCTCGTTTATTTCCGTGAGAAATGCCTCAAATGTGAATGCGCTCAAAGTGCAGCGGTCGATGTAATAAAATCTAAGGCAATTTATCCTATGTTTTAAATGAAGAGGCCTGTGTCTGATCGGGATACGAGGGTAGAGTTATTAGAAGAATGTGGACGAAATGGCTTAGTTACCTCCGAAAACGCTGTTTCGACGGCCGAAATTTCTGCAATGCCTTCATTGTTCATTGTAAACATCATGCATTAACTAACAGAGGGTTGGTTAGACACTTCCACTTATTCGGAGAAATTACAAGGAAAAGGACCCTAAATTTTCATCTTTATGAGGCGTGCCCATAGGGGCAAACAACTTTTTTTTCTGTAATGACTCTTTTACGGGCATCCTTAGGCTATTAAATAATTCAATTCATGTCTGAGTTGTCACGTACCCGACATGTTAGAAAGAAGGTCATCTCTGCTATAAGTCGACATCAAGTTAAGATTAGAGAGAGAGAGAAAACATGTTTATTGGAAAGATGAAGAGGTTATCCCGCGGGAATTTGCAGGATTGCTACTTCATACATGGGAAAGGGAGAAAGGGGCAAAAAAGACAAAGAAAGGAAAGGAAAGAAAGAAAACTTTGAGGATGGCTGTCAGTTACTTTTGGAGGGTGTCCTACAGTATTTTATCAAGTTGAGTCGTTTGAAGAAAACGAATCAATGAGCTCGTCGGCTTGACTCCTTGCAATGTTGATGGCCATGGCCCCAGGAGATGATTGAGCGTGAGCGGTTCTCCGTTGTGAAGAGTCAGGGAGCTTATCATTTCCTTTCTTTGGTCAGCGTAGAGGGCGCAGTGACAAATAACGTGTTCCAGCGTTTCTACGACGTCACAGCTCTCGCAGATGGAGGAGTCCAGCTGACCGGTGAGATTTAGATAATATTTTGTTGAGGCCACGTTCAGTCGTATTCGGTGAAGAGCGGTTTCTGTCCGACGTTTGAGCCCCCGGGGAGGGCGAAAGGTAAGAAAGGGGTCAATGTTATGAAGGTGTCTGTAGTGATATAATGGATTCGCCCAGAGGGTGTTTACTAGAGCCGCAGTAATGCGGTTGGTTGTAGCTCTGGCGTCTGAACGTGAAAATGGAATTACCAGTTTGGACGTAAGATGATGTGCATTCTTGGCTGCCAAGTCAGCACTTTCGTTGCCTCTAATACCGCAATGGCTCGGGATCCACTGTAAAATTAGTGTGTGACCATTATTTATAGCCTCTTTATAAATTTTTTGGATCTGATGTACCAGCTGAGCATTAATGTTCTTGCTTTTAATAGATTTAAGGCTTTGAAGTGCTGCCCTTGAATCAGTAAAGAGTGACCAATTGTTTGGGGCACTCGTAGAAATAAAGTGAATTGCTTCTCTAATCGCTACTAGTTCTGCTGCCGTCGATGATGTTACATGGCCTAGCTTGCCCTGGAGTATTTTGTTTATTGATGGTATAACAAAGCCGTAGCTGGAAGTTTCGCGAGTAGAAGACCCATCAGTGTACACATGAATTCGGGAACGGTGATGCGTATTAATGGTTTCTAGAGAATGTTGCCTCAATACCTCCGTTGGAGTATGCTTTCTTGAATGTATCCCTGGAAAATCTAATTTTATAGAAATTACTGGATATATCCATGGTGGTAACAACGAGAACTCTGCTGGTTCAAAGTCTCGTGGAAGATCCGCGTTGTCAACATTCACGATTTGGGAAAAACCAGACGCGCTTCTGCTGTTTCCGATGTCTGCTAGGTAGTGGTCTTTGTGCCTTGTGAGGTGGCGGAGGTGCGCTCGAAGGGTTTCTTGAAGTCTCAGCGCGCCAATCGGAACAGCCCCTGCCTCAGCTACAGTTCCGACATTTGAGGTGCATCTTGGGAGCCCTAGACAGGCTCGTAGAGCTTGAGCCTGCATACCTTCCAATGCTCTTATATTTGTACGGCACATCCCATGAAGTACAGGTAGGCTGTATCGAAGGAAGCCGACAAAAAGGGCGTTATATAGTTGAAGAAGGGCGGCTACAGAGTAGCCCCACTTAGTGCCACTAATGAATCGGATGAGCTGAATAATGCCGAGAAGCTTTCTTTTCATTTGTTTTATGTGCGGTGTCCATGTCAAAGACTTGTCCAGAACTATTCCGAGGAATCTGTGCGTGTTCACATATGATATGGGATGACCATCAACTGTCAGACAGTACCTATGAGTACTCTTTCTGGTAAAAGCCATAGCAGCTGACTTTGATGGCGATAGAGATAGTCCACGGTGTTGTAAGTAGCTGGAGATGATCTCAAGTGATTTCTGTAAGCGGATTCGATTAAATCGCTGCGTAATTGATGACGTCCATATGCAGATGTCGTCCGCGTAAAGTGTAATGTTGACGCTCCGGGGAAGTTTGTTTACGAGTGCCAGGAGGGTAATATTGAAAAGTGTAGGACTGAGAACTCCGCCTTGCGGCACGCCTCGAAACACTGTATGCTCAGTCGTTTTCCCGTCTGCTGTCAGCATGTGAACTGTTCGACTATCTAAGTAGCTTAATAGCCACGCGTAGAGACGTCCTTCTATTCCTGCATAGCTTAGGGCGTCACGGATAGCCTTGTGACTTATTGAGTCAAACGCGCCTTTTATATCTAGAAATACAGCGGTAGTGATTCGCCGACACTTCCTTTGTTCTTGGATGCTAGTTGTGAAATCAATGACGTTGTCCAGGGAATTCCTCCCTCGTCTGAAGCCTGCCATACACTCAGGGTATATCTCAGATTGTTCAAGGTACCATTCTAGTCGTGTGTGAATCATTTTTTCCATCACTTTGCTGACACAAGAAGACAACGCGACTGGGCGGAAAGATAATATGTCCAGAGGTGATTTACCTTGCTTAAGGATAGGTATGATGCGCGATGTTTTCCACTCCCGGGGTACCTGGCTAGTTTCCCATGACATGTTGTAAAGTTTTAAGAGCCTCTGTCTACCCTTGTTACCAAGATGAGCTAATGCTGAGTAAGTTATACCATCTGGTCCGGGAGAAGACGAGTAGTTCAATCCGGAAAGTGCATCTTCCAGTTCACGAGCATCAAATAATACGTCCATGTGGTTACACGCTCGGATCTGACTATGAAGTTTAACAAGTGTTGCCACCGGATTCGCAACATTTTCTGTAAGTTTTTTGCAGTAGGCTTCAGCCAAAACTAGTTCCGAAACATCTTGTTTGAGTGCAAGTGCCCGGAAAGGGTGACGTTGTTGAGGTGTTGTCCGCAAGCTCCGTGCTAGGTTGTATATCTGAGAAAGAGGCCTGCGTGGATCTAAAGTTACGCAGTGAGCCCTCCAACGGCGCCTAGCCAGTTTGTCTAGGTGACGTTTTATACGTTTTTGCTGGCGTCTCGTTTTGCGCAGATCTTCAGGGTCGTGTGTTTTTCTAGCCTTTCGCTCGCATCTTCTTCGAAGCGCGCGAAGTCGTTCATATTCTGCATCGATGACAGGGTAGGTTCGAGGCAGGTTATATGTTTTCGTGGATTGCTTCACAACCTCTTGAATACCATTAAAAAACTCTTCGTTGCTGTCGAATGAATCACACGCGTTTTCAAAGTTAATTTTAAAGAGAGACCAATCGGTGCGCCTAATTGGAGAGGATTCATTATTTGACCCAAATCCCTTGAGCAGAGTGTAGGTTGGAATATGGTCACTCCCATGGCATTCGATGTCTGTGAACCACGTAATTAAATTTGAAAGACCTGCGCTAGCAAATGTCAGATCCAAGCAGCTACTCATCGTAGTTCCACGGAAAAAAGTAGGACTTCCATCGTTCAGCGAAAAGAGGCCATGCTGATGGGTAAGTGTCGCAAGTGAGGTTCCCCGTATAGTTGTCTTCACACTTCCCCATAAGGGGTGATGGGCGTTAAAGTCGCCCGTTAGGATGTGCGGAGAAGGAGTGTTGTCAATAATAGAGTTAATACGTTGGGTGTTAAACTGAGTATTTGGCGGAATATACGCCGCGATTATGGTGAATATACGGTGATCGTTTTTGACAGTCAACGCTACGTACTCGTTGTTAGCGTCAGGTGGAAGGGCGTGAGAAATATAGGTAAGGTCTTTCCGAACCGCGACTAGTACTCGACTTGGAGCTGTACCTCGCGTCGAGTGAAAAACCTCGTAACCGGATAGACGAAAATCACTAGCAATGTTTGATTCCGACAAGGCCATGATAGGAAATCGGTACTTATGGCAAAATTGTCGAAAGTCAGATAGTCGGCTGCGGAGACCCCTTGCATTCCATTGTAAAATGGTTGCTTGTGTCCGAATTTGCTCTACTGATAACATATGTAGGCTAGGAGGGAGGGCTTGGACAGAGCATAAAGTCAATCAAAACCAAAATTGTAAGCGCTATACTTTCAGGCGCCGTGCCTTCCATACCTTGTAAAATGGATCTTTGCGATTTTAAAAGTAAATAAATAAATAGGCTGTGGTGGTACATGTATGGTGAAAATCGGTAGTTGCCTTGAAGCAAAAATGTCTCGTTGAAAGCCAGAGTGTTAGCTTGTGAATCAAGAGTACAGTAACAAAATTTGTAAATAAAATTAAAAAAAAGAAAGCTTACGAAATTTTTGTGCATTTTCCTGTAGTCGGGGGTTCCCTGGGGTCTGTTTTTCTAGTGATTGAAGCATAACATGACCAGTGTTCGTTTCTTCGGGTGAGGCGAGAGTGGTAAAACTTCAGAGTACCCTTGCAATGAAGGACTCTAACGAAAGGATCGCTTCAATCGCGTGATGGAACGTTGATGCCGGTGGAATAGTTTTCAATATTTGACGAAGTGCGGTGAATACCAGTGGTATTATGGTTTTGAAAAACGATGTAGTACCTGTTTCCCCAGCCTGGTTTGGTGCCGAGGTACGCGAATCGGAAGGCGCGTGTGAAGTGATGTCTTTGATGTTTTGTTTTTCCCAAAAAGATGGTTTTCGTGCTTCTCTGAGTGCGGCTGTTGTAGTAGTCGCTACAGCTCCAGGGTCGTCGATTTTGTTCTCCAGGTTCTTAAGAGGAGGGTACTCCTGAGCATTTAGTGACGGCACACTACTGGTGGTGATTCTGGACGCTGGTTTGCCACCTTCAGCCGTTTCCTTGTTTGCCTGACGTTTCGCGTGCACGGCATATTTTGCCTCGCGAAAAGTGGTGTTGTGTTCTAGCCGATACCTTGTAACTTCAGTCTCTCGTACCTTGACTGGGCACTCGGCTGAGTTAGAGGCGTGCTGTCCTTGACAGTTAACGCAGTTGGGATTGGCTTCACACGTGCCTTCGTGACGCAGTCCACATCGATAGCACAATTGAAACTCTGCTGTGCACGCAGCTGCAATATGGCCGAACTTGTAACATCTATAGCACTGCAAGGGGCGTGCTCGGTAGGGGATCACCTCAGTTCTTACAAGCCCCACTTTGACGTGTTGAGGAGCTACTTTCCCTGTGAAGGCGACTCGCACTACGGGTGACGTCTTCCCAAGTCGCTTCACCTCTGCCACGCCAACGGAGGACTGCAGATGTGTTTTAATGTCGTCTTCTGTGCAGTCAGGGTCAATGTCTCGCAGAATGCCAAAACAGTTTGAGCGATCTCTCGGCAGAAAGGCTCTGACCGGTACTGCGCATAGCTTGGACAGCTTGAGAAGCTCCGCTTTAAAGAGAGGTCGCTTCACATCAACTGCGACAATGTTCCGAGCTTTGTTAATCCGGACAACACTCACCATGCCTGGAGCAACGTTGTTCAGGTAGTCTGTAAGCTTGAGTTTGCTGAGCGACTCGACCTTGTGGTTCTCAGTCGGGATGAACAATACCGTGGATCCAACTTGTAGGTTGCCTTCATCCTTGAGAGATGAAGCATGACACCGTGGGTCCGTCTTACGTCTCTTCTTTCCCTGAGCAGTCTCGAATTCATCGTCGTCGGGCAGCATGTCGTCGTCATCGCAGGCAGACACGATTGTAGAGGAAGTGCAAGTCATTGCATCTGTTGTCGGTTCCTTGGTCGGAATTTGATAGCCGTCTTTGAAAGACGTCCCCGAATCTGTTATGTCTTGCAGGGCGGCGAGCATCAGTTGGTCTGTTGATTCAGGGTTCATTTTTGCAGGAAGCTTGGCCTCCCTGAAGGGGGCCCTTTGCGAAGAGAGGTCCGATACTTCTCTGCTGTTACGTAATCGGTGGATACGAAGTGCAGGCCCGCTATTTAGCAAATATTTCGTTAAATCTCAGGAGACACAAATAGAATTACCCAAGTTAAGATTAGGTAAGTTGGCCCAGACATGCACTGTATCAATCAAATAGTAATTCTGGTCAAGCAAGTTCATTAACGGAGTCAACTTCTTCGGCTGAATTTTTCAGTTTGTGGTATTCGAGACCTTGGGAAGCAGTTGTGCGGGGAACAAAACTTTCGAATATTTTTCCCATTTTTTTTTTAGCTTTGTGCCTCGATATTTCCATATAAAAGTGCTAGAGATATTTATTTTTTGCGAATCAGTCCCTAACCATCGTCTCGGCTTCATTGCTAGTGAGTGAAACGGGAATTCTGTGGAATCCTTTGTTTGAGAAATGACTCAACAAAATTAGAAGAAGGCGAATATGTGTATTTTACGAAGGTGTTGAAATATACATGTTGTCATCGTCCGTGTTTTCACCTCTACCACTATCTTCATCATATCGCTATTATTGTCTTTATTGTTATCATTATATACAACCTTAGCCTAGGGGCCCAAAATGTGTGCATCGGGCATTGAACTTCTCGGCGAGCTCACAGAGGTAGGCGATACCTTCTAGCCACGTTGAATCAAAGGTTTTTCGTGTGCAGGGAGGAGATAAACAATTACATTAGCAAACACACTCCGAAAAAAATTCTACGCCACAGTCGTACGTCGTGTAAAATTGTAAATATGCGCCTTAAAAATAAGGAACCAGAACTTCCGCCTTTTTGTCGTTCTACAGGGTGCCTAGCAAAAACATCAACCATTAAGAGTCAGCTTCTCTTGTATCGTTAGGCGTTTCTTCAAAAGAAAATTTAAACTTAAAAAAAGTTAAAAAGAAAACTCTTAAGTTAGAGTTTTAGTTCGCGAGATATAAGGCACCGGAGCACCGTCTCCCATCGTAAAGCCATCCGAAAACCATTCTAGATCAATTACCGCGTCTATTCTAAGACGCGTGGCGCATAGGAGCGAGCAGAAAGGGAAACATTTTGTTTCTGGTGTAACGAATCCGTGTACGTATCTCAGTAATTCTGTAGCGTTACCACGGGTATGGGAGGCCTTTCATTTTGAAACTGGGTCAGGACGGTCCGCCGCCAGGAAGCTCGCGCCAGCTTCACCTTCCCTTGTCTGAGACGAGATGTACTCCGCTTCAACTTGCTACGAACCACAGCGGACGCTAAACGATCCATCCCAGCCAATCCAACGTCGCGATCGAATCACGTGACTTCACGCCCCGAGAGTCGCATGCGTGGCTCCAGAAGGTCACGCGATACTCATTCGCCAACGAATTCGTTCTGATAGCACCCGATTAGATCCTTCGAGGCGAGACACGGATAAACGGGACAACGCACCGTTTATAATCATAATAATAATAGTTTATTTACCATAAACACGTATTAATGGTGGTTTAGGAGGGACCGCGGAGGACGCTGCGACCTGTGTAAGCGAATCAAACGCCGCGTGGGTGTCATGTGACTTCTGGGAGGGGCGGGGCGACGCGCTGAACGAGAGTCACGCGATACATTCGCAGCGCTGGATTGGTTCGGATGATTCGTACCGCCAGCCGTAGTCCAGGTTTGTTTAGGTGAAACGGAGCATAGTTTTGTTTGCTCCTCGAGATGGGAAAGGAATCGGTCCGAATCTTCGTTCCTCGGAGCGCGTCCTTCCCGTTCTAAATTAGGCAAATGGAGATGCGAGAAAGAGAAGGCCGCGAAACGCCCCCGAAAAACAATGGCCATCGGAGTCGTGGGGATAAGAAGCGGCGCGTATAGAGTTGATCGCGAAGTCGTGAGGCTCTCCGGAGGAAATGTTCGAGGATACCCTGCACAGCCCTTTGTGCGCGATTTATAGCCGTTGTGATCGATGGTGGCGGCTGAACCGAAGGTAATTTCAGCTCCCGTAATTCGATTCCTACGTACAGGAGGTAGCATTCACCGCACACCGAGATTGGGCTCATTGTTCTCTTCGCACGCTGAAACCGAGTTCCGACTTTTTCCAGGAGGACAGTTTACTGAAGTGCGTATTCCGCAAGTGTAATGAAGACTGCTCGCCGCATCTGGACGCACTCGGAAAAAAACGGACTCGGTTATGTAGGTCAGTAAAGGCATGAGGAACGAGAGGCGAATCCCAGGCATCTCATTATTGTTCCGTAAGCCAATGAGGTTTCGGCACTCGCCGATGAGGATGACCAAGAACCAATGAAAAAGCAAGAAGCCTGAATTAACGCAACAAGCCACGGCCGGCGTTTCGTAAGCTGTCGTTGAGCTGAAAACAATCTGAAATTCTAGAGCTGAAAACTATCCGAAATTAATAGTGTTGTGCGAATATTCGAATTTTCGAATAGTAGTTTCGAATAGTACTCTATTCAATATTCGCTTCGAGAGCAGTTGTAATATTCGGGCTTTTCGAAGTGTTCGCAAACTCAGCGTCGCATGTTTGTTTACTGTCTAAAAACCGAAAAGAAACGATATCGAAAATCAAGAATATACTCACACGTTCGGCAAAATGGCATAAATATTTTGGTGGGAACTTTGAACTATATTTATCGTACTTATTTCATCAACTTTTTTTTAATAACGGGTAGAAGAAACCGAGCCACGAACTCCAGAGACGCCCGCACCACCTTCCCCAATCTTGGCGCCCTGGTTGCCAGCACTCTTTTTTCACCACCGCCACGTCCAGACATAAATTTAGAAAAACAAGTTTAGGATTAAACTAAATACCTTTAGAAATTTCTCATAACATGCATGATTGCTCAGAAACTTTTATTTACGATAAAACTGATAAACACGGTTTCAAAATATTTAAACTATATTATATCGAAGGAATATCATATTATTACAGGGACAAGGTGAGTGGATGACATCGACATTGTCAAAATGACGGCAGCTAAGTCCGTTGGAAAGATGGACTAACGACAGCGTGAGAAGTCCAGTTTGAAATTATTTCTGTAAACTTCTATCTGAAAACGCCCAAGTTTTTTTAACCGCAAGTATTCGATATTCGATTCGAAAATATTCGACCAAAATCACTATTCGCTTCGAATTCGATTCGAACTCAAAATCCACTATTCGCACAACCCTAGAAATTAAGAGACTAACTGGGGAAATGAGGAAAGGGCTAGAGAGATAGAGAAGTATATGTGGGTGTCTCAAGTCACCAGGCACGATCCAAAATGGACCGTAAAAACCAATGCCTGCACGTAGCAATCTAAACTTTTCGTCAAAGGTGTATTTTACAGGTCGTTTTTTTCTTGTAAAATTGCAAAGTGTAGCTCCCTTGCTGTAAAAAAATAGGGCCAAGAAACTTGCCAGGGTCAATGGCGGAAGGCAACGCAGACGACTGAGTGGAGTTCGGGGGCGCGTATTGCACTCGTATTGATAGATGGCGCCACCTCTTTATCGAAAATGAAGTGGACCAGTCTTTATTAGTGTCGGTTATATGGGCGAACAGTTTATACGTGTACGCGAAATGCAGGTGAGCTGTTACGCCTTAACGTTCGTAAGTGCGAATGTAAGCAAACACTTACGCATGTTTAGTTACACGCGGATTTTGGAGTGGGTCTTCCGGAGTCGATTGTGCTCAATTTTTTTAGCTGGAGTCTGCGAAATAGGTAAATAACGACATGCTCACGAACTGTAAGAAATATGTGCCGAAGGCCCTAAGTGCTCGAACACGCGCAGAGCTGACACGTGGAATGCACTCTTGAATGCCGTTAGCACGCTTCGCCACGCTGTTTACGGGGATTATCATATGAGACAAAGAATGCGTACATATTTTCAGGTCCATTAAAACGTAATCAGCACGCCCTGAACACCGCGAACATAGCTAGACGCGTATAGGCTGGCATTTGTAAATGCAGGCTTTGGGAATCAGGCACGAGCGCGTAGAAACAACGCGGCTCGAACAACAACAAAGTGAAGCGATGGAGGAGATACAGACATACGGGCATTCACACTAACACTTGCGCACACACATGAACAAGCACGCACACAGGCATACACGAGTACACGCTTTCACGAATACAGGTTCGGTGACACACACGCGCGAGCTCAAACATGTTCACACACACAAACACGCACACAAACACATAGAGAGACATCCACATGAGTACACAAACGGATACACACTCATGCGTGTACATAGCGCGACACCGTTTTCGCGTACGAGCGGTACCAGAATTTTCTGTTTGTCTCCAAGACTGAAAAAACGTCAACAAACCTATTAATGTGGAGAGAAGCGCTTATCTAGGGCACTATACCCTAAGTGGTAAAGTTTCGTCCAACGAGTATACTTTTCCAAGTAAAACGCCAGAAAAAGAAAACGCCAAAAACTTGTTCGTTCGAACAGTATCGCGCGCTTTAGACATAAACATGCACAGGCCGACATAGAGAAACGCAGTAACGCACATTCACATGCACACCAAACGCCAAAAACACGCAAGTAGCCCACGCACAAAAGAAGCACGCGCTACAAAAGCACGCGCAAACGCAAGCACGACCGCAGCACCGATCCGAAACGAACATGGGTGACGCTTCCCATAAGGCAGCGCATAAGGCTGCAATTAAACCAATCTTTGATCTTTTTTCTTTCTGCCCACCAAGTATCTCCGCCACCGCACTGAAGCCATATTTCAGAGCCTTACTACCCCCCCCCCCCCCCCCAAAAAAAAAAAGGAAGAAGAAGAAAGGATTGAGAACAAAAAGAAGGTGTTGGTGGCAAGCGACGCAAGGCCGGAGCGACCATTAGTACGGCGTGTACTTGACGAGAACACGGCTTCTCAAACAGCGCGCGCTTTCCTTTTGACCGAGCCCTCTGTTCCGCGACGCGCGCGGACGCGGGAAAAATTAGGAGAGAAAGGCGAGGCATCTTCTTCTCCCGTCGCC